GACACATCCACACCTGCTCTGTCACACAGCAGCAGCAGCAGCACAGAAGGGAGCAGGGCAGGTAACTGCTGATGCTTTCCTGGTGGGCACAGGGCCAGGATCTGTGGGATCAATCCCTGCCTGGGCTCAGGGTGAGCAGCAGCCCGTGGCATCCCAGAGCTGCCAGGAACTGTGCTGGGCTGCACACAAACAGCCTCAGCAGCCCTACCTGCCAAAATCACACTCCAGCTCCAACCCCACGTGACAAGAACTGGATAAAAACTTCAAACAAATGGTGACCTTTCAAAAGATTAATTTGTTTACCAACAAAACGTTCTGCGTTTGTCAGGAGAGATGGGGTGACCTTCACATTCCCATTTCCAGGTTGAGAGGATGCTGACTGCACTCATCTGTTACCTTAACTCTCTCCCAGCAATTATTTCCTTTTTATTTTTAGTGACAAGAGGATTTTATTCACTCACCGTGCTGCTTGTTATGATCACACACCCTAATACAAATGCAAGGAGCTTCTTTTGATTTACTGCAGCGTGACATCAATTTGTTTAAGTCTCATCCTGCCCCCACTGCCAAACTCTGCTTTGGCTGTAATTAGAGCCACGTGCCTGCCTTTAAAACACAATCAGCTCTGCGCCACCAAAAAACCTGGATTTCTTCTGCATCTTCCTCCAGTCACTTGAAATGAAAGGAATTTCCCAGCTTTGCTTTATAATTTTGAAAATAAATACACTTTCAGGGATAAGCGTTAATGATTAGCAGCATGCAAATGCTGAATAAAGAATGAATAATTGAAGATATGATTAGAATGGTTGTGCTCAAACAAGTGAGCTTAAAAAAGCCCCAGAATCACTGCCATCACCATTAGAGCCACACTAGATAAGATGCAACTCATAAAGGCTAGAAATCATCACCATATTAAATTCTACCTCATGAATAAATGAAAAGGTTCCTAAGTTTACAGTATAATATACATTTATAAGAAAACAAGGACCCAAAAGTGCCAGTATAATTCTGTAACAGAACAGCAGCCCTATGAAAACAGAAGGTAGAGCTGTGAATCTTTTCCACATTGCAGCAGCGCATCAGAATTATTTTTGCTGCAATTCAGATTACTGTTCCTTTGGCTGGATACTCCATGGGAAGTATACATATTTAATAATTATCCACTCATCATTTTTCATCTCTCATCCAGATATAAGCAGCAAAAAAAGTGATGCCCAGTGTGTGTTTCAAAGAGAATTACAGCCCTCATTTTAAAATAACTACAGAACTTGGCAGAGGATGAGGCATTATTATTAGACCCAAAAAGGTCCAAAAGGGCAACAGTTAATTGTTCTTAGTTTCTATAATAAAACCCAGCATCAGCAACTTTATAATACCAAAAGAGCAAGAAAAGACATCATTTTTGGTGAAACAATGAAACCCTGACTAATAATTTTTCCAACTAGTGGAATGGCAGGATAATAAAAAGCCCGGGTAGATTTGTGCTTGACCCCTCAGGTCACCTCCAACCCCGACTTTTCAACCTCCCAACTCTTCCAGCCGCTCAGCCCTCGCTGGAAACTCTTGAATGGCGCGAGACAAGCAATTCGTTTGGAATTTAATTGGAATTTGCTGGGGTGCGGGTGATTTTTGGGGTATTTTTTGGGGAGCCGCTGGCTGACCCCGCGGACAGCGCAGGGACGTGCGCGTACGGACAGCGCCCCCTGCCGGCCGCCCCTTCAATGGAAATTTCCCCAAATTAACCCAAACTGCGCACCGGACACCGCACCAGATTCATTGGCCCTACCGCTAATAATCATAGGTACCATCATATAGATCATATCAACTCCCTCCCTTAAGTGCTTCCTTTAACACCGAACATATCCAGCAAATAGCAACTGCAAAAATTTCACAGCCAGAGAAGGCAGAACATCCCAGCCACACATTGTGCCCTGAAATTTTGAAGGGAATAAATCAGAAATATCTGCTTGGATTTTAAGCCTGTCAGCTCCTCAGTAACTGTAAATATGAATCTGGGAGCCTGAGCAATTCACAATTCACATTAAATATTTGCAGTTTAAATCCCCCAGAAGTTCTCTGTGCTCAGTGCATGTTTCAGGGAGAGTGCTAAAACACATGGCTCTCTGCAGTCTGATCATATTCCTCTCTGTGAGTGTTTTAGAGTGGTTCTAAAAACCTATTAGCCATGATGCTTTTTTCTAATTAACTCCATTATCACAGGGTTAGACAAATCACCTCTCAAGTCTGGGCAACAGCTTTCCAAAAATCATTTTTTGACAAGTGGCAGCTCACAACTGTGCCATTCACAGATTCTCTTTGTGGTGTTTAAAACCAAACACCCAGAATCTCTCCTAGAGCACTGGGCTTGCTGCAGGATGCTTCTGTCACATAAATTAAATTTTAGGAGAGCATCCCCATGTGAGACCGTTGGCTGTGTGGACCAGAGCGCTGTGCTAAATTTGTGAACATAATTGATTTTTTGGAGGGATGGATGTGCCGACTCTTTTTTGGGTTTTTTTGTTTTTTGGAAAGCATTCTTTGCTAAAAATATCATCTGTACATTCAACTGCTGCAGAATAATTGCAGAACTGGCAGCGGAACCGAAATTTGCAGTTGCAGGAGGGAAATTTGGGAAAAATCAAAACTTCACCTTGCACGATTTGAACACTCCCAGAGCAAAGAGAGGAATGGGCTTTTAATTCTTGCTGCACCTTTGGGTCACATGCAGAAGTCCCCAAGCTCCAGCTGATCTCCTCTGCCTGATTTTCCTGACATTCCTGACCATGCACATCCCATGGATATTCGTATTTTTGCTGGATTTCATCCTGGGACATAAACCTGTTACATGTCAGATTTCTTTTCCCCAGTATCACCACTCAAAATATTTTGATCTTTAAATACCCATGTCAAAAACCAGGAAATTATGAGGAAATAACTTTAATGTGAATATTTTATTTAAGACTAGTAAATATTAACTGTAATAGTGCAAATCAATGCATACAACAAACCCATAAAATAATAAAAGTTACTTACAGGAGCAGATTTTTTCTTAGCTATAAGTGGCAGTCTGGTCTCATCACTGGGAAGTTTTAAATCAGCTTTATTCTCCATGTTCTCTGGGTCAAGCATGATTTTAAAATCCATTTCCACCTGCTGCTGAAATATAGAATAGGGATAATCCTGAAATAACTACACCGGAGCTGAAGTGTGTAGAAGTAGAAACTGGCTAACAAGTTGTAAATTTGCAAAATAATTATAAAAATTGGTATGTTTTAACTCCACACAACTGGGCAAAGAGCAAAGTGCCTTTGCTTAGATGGAAAAGTTTGTAAGGAGTGGAACTACTATCCAAATGGACACATCAATGCAGGCACAGAACCTGATCATTAGTAAATGAGGAATTAAAAACCCCTGACAGTAATCAGAATTAAAACACAGTTCTTAATGCACTCTGTGATCTGCATGGAATGAGCTCGACTATTCTGCTAATAAAAATAATGATGATTTAAATCCCAATGGGCAGAAAAAGGCTTTAAAAGTTTCTTCTTGTTACAAGAAACACCTAAAGCATACCTATAAACCCCAGAGGGATGCCCTATGTTTTTACGGCAGTAGAAGTTTTTTAAGTTAAAAATATTTTGGTGCATATTCTTTTGTACAAAAGTAAAAATAAATCCAGGAAAACTCCAATTTTTGCAAATAAAATATGCCATAAAAAGTTCAAGAATCATTAGATGTGTACTTGAAGCATTGAAGAACTGTGTTACTTTGTGAAAGCAGTAAAAATGCTTTAATTTATTTATCTGCACTATATATTCTCTCTTCTTTTGATGGTAATTACAAGCAGATGTATCAATGAGATGCTCATTTAGATTTGGGGTTGTAAGAACACAAGTTATTATCCAAGCCAATTACTCTTTTAGCCACATGGCTGCACAGAGACAGAAAGTTCAATTTTCACCCCATCAGTGCTTTTGTGGTATTTATTTTATTACCATAACACACCGTTATGCAGGGAGGAAACTGCTGGTGCTATTAAAAAACAGAATTGGGGGAATTGAGCACCTTTCAATTAAAGCAGGAGATGGTTCCCAGTGCAAACTCCTCACTCAGCTGCCAGGGAAATGATCAATGCAGGGGGAAAGTGCCACACAGGGTAACAAGAACTGGAATTATTAATAAAAAACCACCTGATAAAAGGGGCTTGGTTGTTGGGAATTTAGCTGCTAAAGACTGGAAAAGTACAAAACCGTGGCTAATTCCAAGTCCTGCACCTGTGTTGATAGCATGTCCTTGGTCCTGGCTGTAGTAGGATAACAAACAGTGAAAGAGACATGAGAAAAGAGAGATGGAACCCCTAAGGAATGAGGAAGAGTTCATTGCATAGTTTAACCAATAGATTGCTTGGCTTACAGAATATTCATAAGCTTATTATTTGCTGTATAAGTGTTTGATGCTTTCTTCAATAAATTGGACCTGTTGGACCTGTGTTGAACCACCTGGTGTCCTGGTCCCCTTCCTACGACACTTGGTCAGCTTGGGTGGGTGGGAAGGGCCAATTCCAGCCTGCATGGATGACCCTGGGATCTCTCCCAACCTCAATGCTACCCTGGGCTGGGAGAGGGCTCCCCTCTCAGCTGCTCCTTCTGCTGAGGAGCTTAACACTTCCATCACGGGGTGCTCTCACACCCTGATATCAAAGCCTGACTCCAGGCAGTCAGAGCATTTTGGGGTGCACAGGACACCCATGGGTGTGCAGCAGGATCAGGCTGTGGTGTCACACCCGTGGGGCTGCTCTGCTGCTCCTCTGCACAGCCAGGGCCGGCACCCGGGGCAGGACCAGCTGCTGCTCACAGGCTCCAGAACCAGGATTCCTGCTGGGGACAGAAACAGGCAGTGAGCTTCCTCAAAGTGACTTGGATTTCACCTGCTAAACCCACTCTGCTTTCACCCACTTCCATCCAAATGACTGTATTTTTATGTAAACTTGCATTTAGCAGAAATAAAATCACACAAGTTAGCAGAGCACTGCTGAAGCCACTTAGAATTGCATTTACACTTGTATATTTTTTTAACTTAAAATCAAAATAGGAAATTACTAAACTAACTACTTCTATCCAAATGACTGTATTTTTATGTAAACTTGCATTTAGCAGAAATAAAATCACACAAGTTAGCAGAGCACTGCCGAAGCCACTTAGAATTGCATTTACACTTGTATATTTTTTTTAACTTAACATCAAAATAGGAAATTACTAAACTAACTTTTTCTAGGTCAATACTCCCATTTGCTTTACATAATTACATCACCTCAGTTTTTGTGTCTTCCTGCAATAAAATATCTGTTTCACTTACCACTTAGGGGGCTCTTTGGAATTTACTTCTTTATTACCAGCTGAAGAAAGAGTTAACTCTTGGCCATTTATAACACTGGAATAATTTTCAGCTTGTTTCTGTTAGAGGGAAAAAATATGTTTAGCCTATTACAAAGATATAAAGGATGTTAATTTTATTTAACTTGGTTCATTAAGCAACTTTGCTTGACTGAAAAGTTGATAAACTTTGTGCCTCTGTAAAAATCTGATTTTGGCTGATCAAGATCAGTTAATTCTGATGACCCAAAAAAGGGAGCCATCATTCTGAACTGTAATGTCTGAGTAATCTCATCAGCTGCTGATTGGAAAAGGATCTTGTAACACAACAAATAAGTGGCCCAAGTGAATTATTAACACAGACTTAAAAAACAGAATAATTGTCTGGATCTGCTCTATTTTACTTACTCTCAGCCCAAGTTCAGGCCTGTCAGCTGCTTTTCTGAGGTCACAAATATCCACGGCTTCTGCATTTCCTTTCAAGTTGGTTTTTTCCATTTTAAGCTTCTGAATGTCTTCTTGAATCTAAAAAGCAAGTTAGGACAAAAATCGACCAAACCCTATGGGGTTAATTCAAATTAAATTATTCCTAAATACAGGAAAAAAGATCCATATGACTCCCCATACTTCTGTACTATTATAAACAAGAGAATACAAAGCCAAGTACTTAAACTGATTGTAGAAAAGCTGGAAAAACTCAATTTTAAAACAAACCTCACAAAGCAGTGACAATAAACTTCAGGACTGAGATTCTCCGCTTAAGGAACGATGTTTCCTCACACATCTCACACATGGCACAGGTGCTTTCGGCGGGCAGGGATCTCAAAATCCTTAAGGAGGGACACAAACTGCAGGCAGCCTGTGAGGAGAGCCCAGCCCATGTCAAACCCGAGTATTCACGTTAAGCAAACAGCTCCGGGCTCCCAAACCCCGCAGCACCCACAGCCCGAGCCCCGCTCCCTCCCGCTGCCCCTCNCCCCCTGTGCCCCCCTGCAGCAGCCCCTGTGCCGCCCCCCTGCCCAGCTCCCTTTGGGGTCTCTCCCACAGCTGGCTGATTCTTCATCACGGACAAAACGGCACTTTTGGTGGGATTCTCTTTAAAATCCAAGTCCGAGGTGATTTGTGCCGTCTTTTGGCTGTTGATGGTGGCCAGGGGGACACAGTGGTCTTTGAGGAGCTTTTCTGGGGGTTCCAGAAACCCCACAGGGCTCTGCCAGGAGGAATGATGGAGGTGCTGGAGGGCCAGAACACCTGGAGCTTTCTGGTGAGCAGCACTGTCCAAGCAGGGATCCTGGAAGGGTTGAGCTGTTTGTGGGGGCTGTGGGAAGAGAAGAATCACAGATGGTGCTGTAAATGAGGGGTCAAAATGCAATTTTTTGTTCTTTTTTTATGACTTGATTGAGGGGATTTGTGAATCTGAAATGCTCTGATCCTGGTTCTGCCCACCAGAAATCCTGCCCAGCTCCACCATCACACCCACTGCCACACAAAAACCTCCAGGGTCATGCAAAACTATGAGCAATGTAAAAAAAACACATCAATTCCACCAAGAAATGCTTGATTTACCAAATATAAAAATTAAACTTTACAATTCACTGGACTGAAAGCAAAAAGTAACTGCAGTGGCATTCCTGCACTGAGGCTGCCTCCACCTTTCCCAGGAGAATGGGAAACATCTTTCCATAAAAATGCAAATGGGGTAAAGCTTGGAACAGAAACATTCCAGCACTCCCTAACTCCTGGCAACTTCAGCCAGCAACTCATTAGCTCTGATTTCCAACCTAAGGGCACTCCACTCACACTATTTTTAGGTAATTATTGCTATTTATTTCAACATCTCATTGGCAGTAAGAGAGATGGAGAGGGTATTACAGCTCTGGAGTGAAAGGACACACAGGGAATGGAGTGAAAGGAACAGGAATTGTTCCCTGGCAGGGTGGCAGGGGCTGGTCCGGATGCCCAGAGCAGCTGTGGGTACCCCTGGATCCCTGGCAGTGCCCAGGGCCAGGCTGGGCAGGGCTTGGAGCACCCTGGGATGGTGCAAGGTGTCCCCGAGCTTCAGGGTCCTTTCCATCCCAAACCATTCCAGGATTCCACAATCTCCATTTCTCAAGTTTGCTTTCTCATTTTCACACCTCCTCAACAGAACAAAAGTCAAAAAGTCTGGAAAGATGGAGCAAAACTCCAGAGATTTTATCACAGAACACAGTGATTATCCACAAAAGAAAGAAATGTCCCTTTTCCACGGGGATCAGGAACAAAGAGCAGGCACTGAGCAGTCAAGGTCAAAGTCCCCCAGAGTCTCCTGTAAATAGAAAGGGAAACACCACATTTGCTTAACTGCAGTGAGGGAAATGGAGATGAAGCATTCAAAAACTCCTTTATAACAGTAAAGATAGTTAGTTAAGCACTGGAACAGATGGCCCAGGGAGGCTGAGGGGTTGCTATCACCCAAAGTTTTCAGAACAGGTTAGAAAACAGCTGTCTGCAATATTACAGGTACAAGTAATTCTGCCTGGAGGTCTGGATAACCTCCTCACATCCTTTCTAAACTAATTTTCTAAGATTCTGTGAAAAAAAAAAAAACTCTGACAAATTCAGGTAGCAGACTTGAAAGAGCAGAAATTTGGAATACACAAACTATTTGTTATTTTATTTCAGTACTTACTAGATGTGGTTCAAACCCTCCTGAGATTTACAGTCCCTCCCTAAACCAGCCCTGGTGAAGACAGTAAAAAAAACCACAAATAAAACCCTCATTATCCTCACTGAGTGATCCCTTCCACCAGTCACCTGTGTCTGAGGGGGAACGTGCCCCTCAGATTGCAACTGCTGAGCTGGACACCTCCACTCTGGCCTTGATCTCCTTGGTGAAACCACGGAGTTGCTGGATGGCAGTGGTGCAATGCTCCCTTTACTGCAGGAATGTGTGCCACAAACTGCTTCCTGTGCCTTTGGGAGGGTGGTGGTGTCTGTGCTCTCAGGGCCCAGCCTGACACTGATCTCTCCTGTACAAATAAATCGTGGATTGCAGTTTTTATCTACTTATTGTCAGTTGTTAATTTAATCATGTGGCAAACAGATCATCTGATCAAGTCATGATTCCCAGCACCCAACACTGGGCAGAGCTTCAGATTTGGGTGCTTAAAATTTGAAATGTGCAGATAGGAACCCAGGAGGAGGCCAGAATGAACAGGACCCCAACCCTCCCAGGGATGAAGAAATCTGATTCCTACCCAGCTGCAGGACACAGGATCTCCCTGTGCTTTGTGCCCTGCAGAATTTGGTGAGTGGGAGATAAAAGCTGGCAGTGCAGCTGGCAGTGCAGCTGGAGGTTGTTTGCAGTGCTCTGAACTCACCCAGAGCTGGTTTCTTGTGCTGCCTGGGGAGCTGAGGGCCAGGAGCTGCTCTGGGCACGGCAGGAGGGGCTGGCAGAGCCCTCAGGGCTGTTGGCAGCATCAGCCTCTGGCCACTGGGGCTCAGGGCACCTGCAGGGAGATGGAGCTCCTGAGCCATTCCAGCTGGCAGTGAAAAGCAGCTCTTGGCAATGAAGAAAGAATTGAGCAAAGGCAGACCCAAGTTCTGCATCAACACCACAAAAGCAGCAGTTTGCTTTAATTGAAAGATTCCTATCTCAAACAGTCAATATTTTACCTTGAAGGAAGGTGAGCTGTGCCTATCAGATTTGATAAATACAATAAGATATTGCAGCAGTGCTAACTCTGAAATATGTTTGTATATCTATAATTACATGTTTGCATATCTATTAATTGCATTGCTTGTACAATGCAATTTAATATGCAGAATAGATGAGAATCAACTCCTGCAAAGCTCAATATAATCATGCAATTCCCACTAANAGATTTCCCCTCAAGGTCGCCGCCACATCCCCTCACAGTCTCAAGTTTCCCTCTCAGGGTCGTTACTGTCCCCTCACGGGCTCAGTTTTCCCCTCAGGGTCGCCGCCGGCCCCTTACGGACCCAGTTTTCCCCTCAGGGTCGCCGCCGGCCCCTTACGGACCCAGTTTTCCCCTCAGGGTTGCTGCCATCCCCTCACGATCCCAATTTTCCCCTCAGGATTTCAGCTTTCCCCTCAGGTTCTCATTTTTCCCGTCAAGGTCGCAGTTCTGCTCTCAGGGTCCCAATGCTCCCCTCAGGACAGGGGGATCGCAGCCAAGGGATCGAGCCCTTGCAGAGGGTATCAGGAGCCTCCTCGGTGCTTTAAGGAAATAATTCACCTCTTTCTCAGTGCGGAGGGACTGAAAGGGAAAGCTAAAAATTCTGTCCTGCAGCTGGTAGAATTGCAGATTACACTCGGTGCCGAGTACATAGAACTCATTCAGTAGGAAGTGGTTTTTCCTGGTTACCAGTTGCTGTTTTTATGGCTCAAAAGGGGAACACAAGATCTGATAGTAAAGGAAACCATGGTGGAATTTCTGATATTTTTAAAATATTTTGAAAATCGGGAGATTTCCAGGAAGAAGCTGTTCATGATCTTGGTGGGTTGCCTATGTTAGGACAGCCCTGTTTTTAGGGAGTTCACGAACAGTTTGCTGTGCACACTGAGATGTAGAATTTAACTCCCTCAAATCTTCTCTGGATTTATTTTTCTCTCTTTCTGAGCAATTCTTACTTAGAACCTCAGCAAGCACAGGGCTGCCCCCAGGAACTGGCTCCCTCCACCTCATTAAAGCACATTTTGGAACAAAAATAACAGTACAAGATATGCAAAAGCTTCTCTGTCAAAGCAGCTGCAGGACACTGAATTATTTAAAGATTCCACACCTAAAATATTATTACTATCTTATTTTTGAGGAAGGTATAAGCAAATTGGAAGGAATTACTCAAGGTTCCTCTAGGTTTCCCCTTTGATTACTTTGCATAGTGAAATAAAACAGGTAGAAAAGGTAGGTGAGCAAAAAGCTACTTAATCTGAGAAAATCTTAAAATACAAGCTTATATATTTTTAAGACTAGTACTCACTTTGGAATATCTCAGCTTCCACTGCTCCCAGTACCAAAACTGGAGTCTTGTCTGTGTGTCCTCTGACTGGGTTACATTAAAACCCTCCTGAAAGAAATAAAATCATTGGATAAAATAAATACCATCAGCATCTTAAGTCCCAAGTGACATTAAATCAGAGGCAGCAGACTGTAAAACAGTCAAGGACACCCAGGCAGGGATGGGGCAGCAGTGGGGAGGGTTTGGGGGGGGTGAAGGAACCTGCCAGAACTTTCCAGGCCAATTCCAAGACTTTTTCCAGGGTTTTTCTCCTGTTCAATGGAAAATGTCTTGAGGATGAGAAGCAGCTGATGGTACATTTGCTAGATATATTTTTATGTGTTCAGGTTTCTCTGAATGCTTTAATTCATGGGACACTGTGGCAAAACAAATCTTTTTAAAGTGTTCAACATAGATCAGCCTGTTATTATTGTGATGTATTTATCATCACAATTTTTGTGATGTATTGTGTTATTATTGTGATGTATTTATCACAAAACTGCAAATAAGATTGGTTCAGTTTTCTTCTATCTGATGTGATTGTTCTTCCTTTTCTTTTTGGATTTTTACCACTCCCCTCCTCCCCAGCATATTTGGGCTCTCTTTACTCCTCGGTGTCATTTTAGGAGTATTTTTTATGGTTTATTCCACCAGGTGGCTCTCAAGGCCCAGAATGTGGGCACTGCTCCATGTACCTGACAGCTCTGAGGATTTGGGAGCATTTAGGGCATTATGTTCTTAAAACATTTATTCAATCTGAAAAACACTATGGAAAGTGGTAAATATCTTAATCTCTTTGGGAAAAAAAAACTGCAAAAAGAAGTTGTAATCATTAAAAAATTATTATTACACACACAATGTGCTAAAAGTGCTGAAATACTACTTGGGTGTTAGAGAACAGGGCAATTACTGGGAGAGAAATTCCACAGGGAGCTGGCAGAATCTCAGCATGAAGGATGGGAAATCAGCAGCACAATGGGATGAAAGAAAACCCCTTAAAATACAGGAACAAGCAGCAGGTAATAGGAAATGGGACATGGCCTCATTCTAGCAGTGCTTTCAGACCTAAATTTGTCCATGAACTCTTCTAAGATATGTCCCTTGCAAAGCAAACGTGAAATTCATATCAGCTTCTGAAAACCTTTTCTGAGGGTTCTTTCCCTTTGTATCCTTGTTGGGGTGACTGACTCAATGACTTCAGAGCTGATTTTGTTCCTCACCCCATTTTCCTCCCCAAGTCTTACTGCTGATTTTCTGGGTTTCTGTAATTTCTGTGGAGCCTTTTATTCTTAGCCTCTTGATTGACTTGTAATTCTGTTAGCTCAGACTGATTTTAATTTACTTACTTCTTTTTAACTGTTAAAACACTAGTAAAGGGAAGCTAATATCATATTCCAAACAAAACCTCTGAGAATACAAAGCTCAGAACCCAGGTTTGTTTGGTGGTGACTCAGGATCTTTGTCCCCCAGCTCCAAAGTGAGGTGGGTAATCTTAGCATGGAATATCTGATTAAAGATGATCACCTGAAATCATCTGAAAAATAATTGCCATCCAAAATAAATCAAACTTGAACCTGGAAAAATCATTTAGATGTGGCACTTCTTATTTTAAGCAACCCTGAGAGCAGACTCCTGTTTCATCCTCTTGAGGAGGAAATGCTACAGGTTTCTGTTTCCAAGGTCACATTTCTCCCGCAGATTCCATCTCCTCCCCAGGGCTGCAGATAATCCTGGTTTGCAGCTCTCCTGCCTTGTGCCCCGTGCTCAGTCACCAGATCCATTTCTCAGCTTTGCAGTTTAGCTGTAAAAATCACTGCAGCCTTGGCAGGGAGGTTTTCCTGTCTCTTTACTAATAAGATACAGATAAATTCAAATTCATCTCCAGACTATTTGGGGAACAGCCTGTTCCAGCAGCTCCAGGAACTCTCAGTACCTTCAAATACAAATCCTTGAAAAGCCATGGGCTTTATTCTTTAACTCTTCTCCTGCCCCAGGCAATTCTGGATGACTCAGTCCATTTTAGAAATCATTGACCTGTGTTCCAAAGTGTCCACGAGTTCATCCAGCCTGAACAAGGTTTCCTGGCCTTTCCCTCAGGGAGCACTGGGGTGCTGTGCTTCCAGCTCTGCTTCAGCTCCAGGAGTGTTCTGGAAGGTTCCTGCCTCGGAGGGCAGAGCCTGGCAGCCCCTGAGCAAAGCACTGCCTTGTCATGGTTGAGCTCCCACGTGGAATTTAATGGGAATTGCAGCTGAATTGTAGGAACTGGGTTTATTTTCTCATTAGTTACCTTCAGCTTTTGGTCACAGTTAAACAGATCTTTACATCTCAAGGAGCATGCAAGGGTTGTAGTAAAGTTTAGGTTTTCTCTCCATACATCCTGTTTACAGCTACTGAGTGTGAGGTTAACACTTGAAAAGGCATTTCCAGGAAAACAAAAGGCTTTCTGCAGCTTCTGGGTCATACTTTAGATTGAAAACTAGAAAATGAACTCTTTTGAAAGCTAAGCAATAAAATCTGGGACAGAGTAACAAACTGAGTTGAATTTTTAAAGATCTTGATTATGTACTGGTTTGTTGTAGTAAAGATGGATCTGCATTGGCACTGTGCTTTTCTAGACAAATGATTTTCTTGCTGCTGCTTTTACCCTCCTCCTCACCCATTTTCTCTCCTGCAGGTATCACAGGGGAAGATGACCTGACTGTGGGTGCAATAACAAGTGGAAGAGTGAATTTCTACCCCTGGACGATAGATAACAAATACTACTGTGCAGATATCCACCTGTGTGTGGTCCCAAACACGTTCCACGTGACTGCAGAGATCGCCGAGGCTGTGCAGGCATTTGTGGTGTACTTTGACAGCACAACAGTAAGGGCTCTCCTGCTTCATTCCCCTGCCTTCTCACAGTGACAGCCATAAACCAGAACCTCCACCCCTCCCCTCTGAGTGTTCTATTCACTGGCAGAAGATCAATAGTCAATACTAGATATTCAATTTCCCTGCTAACAATAGCAGCAGTTTCCTTCTCCCTTACTCCTCTCCTCCAGCTGGAAGAGGGGTTTTCAGGAGCCATTATGCCACCATGGCAAACCCATCTGCCAGCTTTATTCCTAAAGGCTCCTTTAGGACAGACAGAATTTAGGGAGCTAAACATAAAATTCAGGGCATTTCACCCAAAATTGTTTCTACTAAACCAGCAGCAGTGAAAACTGGTTTAGCAGAAACCAGAAAGGATGAGATAAAAAAAGCCCATTTCTTTATATAATTCAATTCTTATACTATTAAAAACTAAAGTATTGCAGGATGCATTCCACAGAACACTTTTCTTTTCCCCTGCAGAAAACTGGACTGGAGGGTGTCTCTGAATGGCTGCCCCTGACAGAAGAGTGGCTGCCAGAAGTGATGATCCTGGTTTGTGACAGAGTGTCTGAGAACGGTAGGAGACCCAGAGAGCTCCCATCCTCACTCAGAGCCATTAGCCTGCACAATAATTGACTTTGTAATTACATCAACAGTTGCCTCTCAGAGTCGGGGTGAGAGTGGCCCAGAGAGCCCAGGGGAGC